AGATACTGTGGACCACGTGCATCGATCTTGTCAATGAATCGAACGCAAACTACCCGAGGCGATTACCCCGCTTTCCGTTCCTGAAAGGGAAGGTGATACGTCGATTTCGTATTCCGTGTTTGTTTCGATCGAATAGCGATCGAGGTAGCTTGACACCGAACGAAATCGAATTTTCACGCGATATCACTCATAGGAGTACGAGTTGGATAAAGAAGAATAGAATAGATCGAAGGACGGTTGCGTAGAGCATCGTTGGTTTTTTTCGGCCCGTTCTCGGTCCAGAAGATGGTACAATCACAGTGTGCTACTGCGTTGGCACGGTCTTTCTACGGGCCGGCTAGGAAAGGGGGTACAATACCTATATAAAGCTTGAATGAAGATGCTCCCAGCTATTCACTCTCACCTTTCTCACGAGCGTGCGCACGAGGTAAATCTTCCGAACGAATCGCGAGGGAAGATCGCCTTCGCCTTCGTCTTCGTTTATCGTCGAAAGGATTTCGCTGCGAGGTGAGTCTCCGGTTTCGTTCGCGATAATTATTATTTCGATTTTCCAGAACCCGAGTTGGTCGTACCGCGTGTGAATACGTGTGCGCGATATTTGCAATTTCCGTGAAAGAATCGTTTATTCCGAAGTACGGTGCAGTTGCGACTAAGGAGTTCGATCACCTGTCAAATTTGCATAAATTTTCCTATACCCGAACGCTCGCTCTTTCGGAAGAGCGGATTGGAAAGACCGAGATTTATTACGCCGGGAGAAAGAAAGCGGCGTGATTGATATTTGTTCGTGACCAGAAGCATGCGTAGCGTCTCCGGTGCGGTCGCGTATCGCGCTCTTACCACGATCGACGAACCCAAGTTTGCCAGATCCAGCGAGATAAAACACGCGTCGCGTCGTTTCGTAATGTCGCGTAACGTTTTAATACGTTAATTGGCCATGCTTCGGCGTTCGTGCGCCACAATCGGAGAAAGCGATCGATTGCGCAGCCACCTTGATTCTTTTTTCTCGAAGAGACCGGGTGTGGATGAACGCGTGGCCAATTCCTGCCGGCGTGGTCTTACTCTCTTACGAGTAACCGCGGTAAATCGTGTTCGAAGCCGACGCTACCGACACACGCGTATCCTCGCGCGTCAAACACGCGCTTTGAATTTTCTACTCGCCTCTTCTCGACGTCCTACGCTGGGACGGTTACGGCAAGTACGCGTGACGGAACGTTTGTTGTTCGATAAAATTACGCAACCGCTCGAGGAAGAAAAATTCGAGTCCGGGTTCTTTCGATTAGCGAAACGTTGCCGGCGGCGTTTGCGAGACGAACGAAGCGGCCGACTGTCCGAAAGAATTACGGCTGTCCAAAAGGACGAGATTCGTGACGGTGCGTCTACCTCGAGACCTTACGTTTGACCGGGCAAAATCTCTTCGACTTTCTCTGTACCGAAGGTCGCGGGACAACCGATTTCTCGTTTCTTTTTCTACGCGGAGATCAATTTCCTCGCCATATACATCGCCGATGTTAATTCGCTGTGCTACCATATCCAACGACTTTCAGCTTTTCAGTCTTCGAAACGATTTACGACGTTTTCCCGCGGTCGGCGTTCCTCAAAAAGTATACGATCGGACGTAACGTTCGCGCGTAATCTTTAATTCCGTATTCAGCCCGCGATGTCATTTTTCATTTCTTCGGAGAGGAGAATTCTTCTGGATCTCACGCGTCGCAATACGATCCGTCGATTCGTTTTCGCAACTTGCGCGCGCACTTGCGTCCACGAGGATGTAATCGCGCTAAATGGCAGACGATTTGACCGGTAAACTACCGACAACGTGGGACAGTAAAGTTTCTTCTAAAAATCGCGGACGATCTACGAATTGCGAAACGACGTCAACTAGAATCGTCGGTTCTTTCATCTTCGTTCAACGAATGGAAATTTTGGAGTTACAGAGGACATTCTCGTAACCATCCTTGCAAATCATTCGACTCGACCGCGGTCGGCGCGAATTAGAAACTCCCGCTAACTTCAATTCTTTCTCTTACTCTCTTGAATCGCGTTTCTCGACGCATAAGGCAATCGATGTCCCGGTAACCCAGACCTATCGGACGTAACTGGCAGTTTTCACTGGCAAATCTCTCGCAACCGCGTTGGAAGATTCTTCTCCCGCTTAGCATCGTTATCGCGCGATCTCGCTAAACCATCCGATTAACGCTCTGACGAAGTAACTTTTTACACGGTTTCTTTGTCCTCGTAAATCTCCGCTCTTCTCGAAATCTTCTACCGCTTTTTTCCCAACGAAAGCGCTGAGAAATTTCGACTCCTACGAGACGTGCAGACCGTCTGTTCTCGCGCAAAAAACGAACCAGAGAAATTCGGCAACGTTCTCTTCCCTCTAGAATCTTGCAACGAGCTCAGAAATTCTAGTCTCGTTACGAAATCTGGATAATGAAGGAGTACCGTTTCGGCCGGTTATTAAGAACGCCGTATTCAGCCGAACCGTCGAAGGAAACCGCAACGTTTCGTGTACACCCTGCACTTGCCCAATCTTCTTCCCGCAAAGCATCTTAAAGACGACCGTTTGCAAACTTGACGAGATTCCTAGAATAACTACGTTGATCCACTTTTAAAATTGAATTCGATTTTTGGCGAACGGAGTTACCCGGAACGGTCTCGCGTTGCGCCGTCGATTTTAATCGCGACTGGTATCGCCCACGATCAGTAGGTATCGAGTTTGCTCGTTAAAAGAGAAAGGTCGATAAAAATGTCCATTACACCACCGATGGGTATGACATAAAAAGAGATGTTGGGAAAACTCGTCGAGTTATTATCTTCGGATATTTTAATCGTTTCGTCGAAATTGCCCGAGAGAAGCACGTACGAGTCGGGAGAAATTTCTTCCGGCACTCTTCCTCCACGAAATTTCAATGACGCGGAACGTTCCTCCGTACGCGTTAAAAAGATACGTTACTCGAGTGGAATGCATCGGAAGCGTTCAATTCCGCTTCTTCTCGTTTCCCCGACGACCCGGTTGGTCACCGACGGAATCTCTCTTGCCTCGTTCTAAATTAATCTCGTTGACGCAACGTACTCTACTCGTAATCTCGATCTCCGCGATCTATGTACGTTTAGCAGCCTTTGCTCCAGGTTTCTCCCACGGTGCGTATTACGCCGTGCATCGATTAAACTTCGTGTTTCCAAATAAATATTTGCAAATTAGAACGCTCTCGCGTATTCGATTAGCATAACTCCTCGATAGCTCGCGGAACCTCGAGTGACTTTTGCTTTCATGATTTTCGCTTTTACTGTGAATCGAGTCCGTCCTCGTTCCTGCGATTCGATTCCCGCGCTGTAAATTCCCGATCCTCGCAATCTTCTTATCCCGCGACGTTCAACGAACTTTACTCCCGCGATCTTAATTAAATCGGAACGCCGAGCCGACCCCCACCGATGCTTTTCTCACGACTCTTGTATCCTAATGAATTCGGGCAAACGCAACGCGTACGAAAAGTGATTTCTCCGTCAGTCGAATTAACTTCGTTCGAAACTCGTTATCGATCGAGTACTCTAAACGCGGAGGCGGGAAGTCGCGAAGTCGTATCTCGATCTCGCGAATCGAGAGCGCAGGGACAGGAGCACGAGCAACGCGTACGATCCTCGAGGCCGACGCGACTTTCACCTTTCACCTAGGTCGACACGATTCGACGATTGACTTCTCGAACCTAGACTCGAACGACTAACGACCAAAGGACCCGACTGGCACACCGTCGTTCCGTAGCCAGATGCGCCTCGTGCTCGAAACACGAGCCGCACGAAGGCGAGCGACGGGATCAAAATCGCATCACGATTCGGTTTCACCGTTACCGGCCAGCCACCGGGCTAAATCGAATCGATACGGATGGAAAGCATCCGGATGTAAGCAGACATTCCGCTCGTAACTTCGCTTTCGTCGAAAGCGACGGTGTTTCGCGTTTCCCCGCTCTGGAAGACGAGCACCGATCGCTTCTTCCTCTCCTTCTTCCGAAACCTTTGCCACGACTCGCGACGCTTTCTATCCTAGCGATTCCAGTCACGGATATGGAATCCTCCGTAAATTGTCTAGCGACCAATTAAATATCCAGAGACGCCTCTTCTTCGGCGTCGCGAACGAACGAGAGGGAAAATTTCTGCGAACCGTGTACAGCAAAGACAAACAGTTTTACGGTAGTGTTCGAACGCGCGAATCGACCGTCGATCGTTTTCTTTTCACGCGCTACTCGAATGATTCGCGCCCGAACAAATTTGCTTTTACTTTCTCCGCGTTGGCGAATTCTCCGCCGGTTAACGGAAAACAAAGTACGTGATGTAAATACGAACGCGGTAAAACGGTAGGCTGGCGTGCAAAGTTGAAGAACCGGAGAGTCGCCGAATATCGATTCGCGCGCTTCGGAGAGCCGTTACGCAGCCATCGCGTTCAAAACGCGTTAATTAAGCTTGTAATTCGAGCTTGTTCTTCGCGCTTCGATCGCGAGGCGCGCTTAACGCGTTGGAGACCGTAAAACGCGGTTGCGGATCCCCTCGTAATCTGATCTGACGAAACGTTCTAACGCCCGCGCACGTGAGAAGAGGAAAACAATCGTGAAAACGTCCTTTCTCGGGACCGGTAAAGCTATTTAACCGTCCAACTCGTTAAACTCTCTGTCGAAACGAACGAAATTATGACGAAACGAATCGCGAGATTTTCGTTGCTCGGCGATCGAGGCTTATTCGAAAGCTCGAGACCTTGCGCGGAATTTCATTAACCGGTTTTCCGAACGATTTTCGCGCGAACGAGATCCTGTTACAAAAATAACGACCGCTCTTAATTAGCTATTCGCGTCGTAGGCGAAAATACGCTCTATTGTTGTTGCGTACACGATACGGGTTCGCAGCCTTGAGACCGTGCGCGCGAAAAATTCAAGGTTTCCCGGAACGATCTCTATCTCGGTTTTCTTTCGATCGAAAATGCGCGTTTCGAAATAAAAGATACGACGTTGCAGGTACGAGATGAAAGAAATCGTGGCGGCGCTGCTGGTCGCAGCCGTGGGTGCAGCAGTGAGCCAGGAGTACGGAGGAAGACATGCCTTGTTCGTCAGAGCACCGTCTGCAGCCGGTAAGACAGGAACGCGGGATCCTAATCGAATCTCGAGTCCGAGTACGATCCGTCTAATTACGGTAGATCGAGAGTAGAGAAAGCGATAACGTTCGATAACGTTGGATAACGACGAGCGAATTTGATGAATGCAATCGTTTAAAATCCATTAGCGCACTCGAGAGTCCAGCGAGCTGCTCCGGTGTCGGCCGCAGACCTGATGGCGCAAAATATCCTACACTGGATTCAGGGCATCTATCGGCAGGGCGCACGTAAAAGTACGTTCTCCAGAAGAAGCTTATTCCCTTTGAATTACCTCGTCGAACGAGACTCTTCTCGAATCGTCGCACCGATACGTTCTTTGCTTCGCTACTCACCCCTTCGGTCTCTTCGGGCCACACTTCTTCTACCCGTTTGCTGTTTCCTTCTTTTTAAGCCTTTCAAACTCGACCTTTTCCTCTAATTAAAGCACCACGTCAAACTGTTCGCATAGCAAATTAACAATACAGAATTTGGAAATTCAAAAGAAAACGAATGCTTGAAAGGGTTACGTTCCTATTCGGTCCTGCTTGTTTTAGCTTGATACTTGGCGAGCACCGGGGCTAAAGAGACGAAAACTCGGTGTACGAACAGAGACGATAGCTACCCTAATTTGCAGACGAGTTAGGGGCCCTTGCCTGTACGATACCTCCGCGCACAAAAGCGTGATTAATCGTAACGCGGTGGTTTCGATCGATAACCGTCGATTCAAAGAATGCAATTAACCACGGTTTTACACCGGTATTGATCCGTACCGAGCACGCTTGTCACCTCTCTCACGCATATTAATGAAACGTAGAGAAGTCGAAGAATCGCGGAGCTGTCGGTCGCGATAAAAATATTCACAGCCGAGATGGATCGTTTTGCAGTTCGTCAGCAATCGGATCCTCCTGGATACCTACCGCCGTACAGCACCCAAAGACCACCGGAAAGGCCTCGACCTTTTCAGCCGCCCTCGACTGGCCAGCAGCCAAGCTACTCGTCTCCGGCTCAAAACGAGGTGACCAATAATTATCCGTATCAGAGGCCATCGACGGGTTTCTCTCAGCCGAATGTCGCTCTGCCGTCCGGTCAATCGTCCACCTTACAACCTCCTCCGTTCTCGACTCAAAGATCCACCTATCTTCCGCCGAACGGTCAATCACCCTACGGTCCGTCCTCTTACGAGCCTCGTCCGACTCCGACACCCTCCTACACGAACACCGGTTCCTCGGCTTTCCCGCCGTACGGTTCGACTCCTCGACCAGCGTCCACCGCGCAGCCTTCTCAGCCTGGATATTCCGCTTCCAACGGCTTCGGTTACTCGAGTTCGAGTTTCGCCAGTGCCAGTGCTAACGCCAATGCCGGTAAATTCTCTACGCCGAGCGGATTCTCCTCCACTTATGGCTATTCGACTCAGAGACCGAGCACCGGGTACATTCCGCCCGTGACTACTTCGGCCCACGGGTTCACCACTAATGGGTATCCAACCACGAAACCCAGCGTTCCGTTTCCGACCCCTGGAACCGGAGACGACTCGTACGATCAGAGCAGTGGAGCTGCTTATCCCACTGCTGCACCCGACGAGACTTCCAGCGGCAGTGGCGGCACAACTGGCCAAGGTAATGCCCCGTTTCTGGCTTCTCGTTTTTGATAGACCGTTTCCTAGCGTGCTATCTTTTCAGGTTCTAGCTCTTCCGGAACGGTAACCGGCACTGGAGCCGAGGACGACGACGAGTTAAAACACCCTCCTCATATTCACGCTCTCGACGTTCAGTGCAGCAAAACCATGATGACCATCAATATCGAGTTCAACCGCGTCTTCGACGGAGTGATTTACTCCAAGGTACGAATTCACACTCGTCCAAATATTTTTACTTCTCCGCGACTAAAGCCGCAGGAATTTCGTGAATTTTAATCGAGATAAACGTATGCAGGGATATTACGCGAACCCGGAGTGTAGGTATGTTGCGCAAAATTCCGGGCAAACCAAGTACACGTTCACGGTAAGCCTGGATTCCTGTGGTACACAATTCATCAACGATTTCGCGGGTGAAGCTGGACAAGCGTATCTGGAAAACGTGTTGGTCCTGCAGGTAAGCTCAATTCGTATACGTTTCAACTACAACATTCAACCATCTCATTTCTTTTCATCAAAGAATGAACCAGGCATACAGGAAGTGTGGGACACGGTGCGAACAGTGCGCTGCTTGTGGGAAGGGAACATCAACAAAGCGTTGTCGGTGAACTTTTCCGTAGATATGTTGAATCAAGAAATAGTGACGTTTAGCGGTGACACGGCGGTCGCTAGGTTGGACATCCAAGTAGGAAGAGGTCCGTTCGCGCCTGCCGCGAATGGTCTGGTCAAGATCGGAGAGACCATGACCCTGGTGGTCTCCGTCGAAGGAGATCCTGCCTTCGATCTTCAGGTAACTCTTCCATACGGAGAAACAAGCTTTTCCTATTCTGTTCGTGACAACGCGAAATTATCGTTACAGGTGCGCGATTGCCTCGCTCGAGACGAAAGTTCCACGAACACGATACAACTGACGGACGAACGAGGGTGCATATTGAAACCCAAATTGTTCGGTTCGTTCCAAAAGACGAACGACACCGGGAATACGGGTGCGTCAATTATCGCTTACGCGTACTTCCAAGCCTTCAAGTTTCCAGACGTGATGGATCTGTTCATCGAATGCAACGTGGAATTATGTAAGACCGACTGCGAACCGTGCCCCGAATTAAATCAGGTAATTCCGAGTTCATCGGCGAATTTGGTACCTCCGTTCCTTAGCCGATAGTTAAATCGATGATTTTGAATGGAATAGTATCGATCGAAAAACGAATCTTTTTCAGCAAATTGAACCGGGTAGGCGGCGGCGATCGATAAGTTACGCCCCATCAAACACTTCGTCCCTGCCGCTCTCCGAACCGGTGCGAGTTGCTCGTGGCTTTAGGGTGGTCATGGAAGACGATCTGAGCAAAGCTAGCAATCAAGTCTTAGAGAAGCTCGAGGAAACCGCTGTCGAGGAGATCGTAAGAACCACGATGAACGTTTGCATGACATACAGCGGATTTTATACTGCGATATTTTTCCTACTGAGCACCATCTTTGTCGCTACGATAAGCGCGGTTACGCTATACATTAAGTTGCAACGAGTTTACAGATCGAAATCCGTTTACTCGTAGAAATCTTGGGTAATTTGTTGCCGTCGCTATTTTGAGTCTCAATAACGAGCGATAAACGAGCGTCAGGATGACTAGCTACATTGATGACGGTCGGTCATAAAAAATCGGACGAAATTTCATTCTCCGATATGAACCAAATTCTGCAAATAAGCTCATTTTTGCGGAAGATCTGTGAAAATGATTTTTGACTCGAAAGAAAATTTTTTGCCATTCTTATATCATTCCCTGTTTCATCGACGCACAGTACAGTGTGTGAATTATTTTGAACACGTAATCTGCATCTTCGAACTCACAAAATATATTACAAACAATATAAAGTCAATATTAATAAATGTATAATATATATACAACATATTAATCAATAAAATCAATATTGATTAAATTTTTTTAAAGAAAACAGTATACGTGGCGCCATCTAGCGGTAGAGTCTGGGAACTAACGAAACTAGTGTTTCAAAAGTGTGTAGTTCACCCTGTTCGCCGGAGAGATGGCGCCACGTGTACCATTTTCGTAAAAGGCCTATTAATATTGATTTTATCGATTAATATGCTATATATTTATTAATATTGACTTTATTTCATCTAAAATATACTATATTAAAAATCTTGTGGTAAATATTTGATTAAAATATCGGAAATATCGACGGACGATCTCTTATGCCGACCGAACAGCAGCCATATTCTGCATTACTGACCTACATATGGATCAGGTAGCGACGAAGTTATAAATGCGCATGCGTGAGTAATGTGTTGGCGGGCATTGAGAACTACACTTTCTTTTCTCGTTTTTTATTCTTTATACACAAGATATGTTAAACCAAGGTATACAAAAATATTGAACCGACACGATATTTGCAAATGACAGTGGTTATGTAATTATCATGTATCGATCGAGCGATATTTTTAATAAGCTGTTAGAAAATGAATTTGACATCGTTTCTAGGGAATGAAATACTTACGATGACTCGAGCATCGACGACTCGAATGATGTGACCTGTATTAGATCATAGAATTGTAAATACCATTAATTGTGCAATCATGAACAAGTTAAAAAGAAAATATTTTATATTTGTTTTCTGAAATACAATTGTTATTGATTTGACGTTCTTTGTATTGTACTGCATGTACGTTCATTCATCGGCCAGTTCATGTTACAAAATAACAATAAAATAATATGAAATGGAATCGCAGTGTGACTAGTAAAATATATACAAAATCGAATGTAATAACAAATAATCTTTTATATATTTACATCATTGTTTAAACAAATGCGGTAGACTTCGTATTATTCGTGTTGTCCAAGGACTGGACACGATGATAGAAATTGCGAATATAAAATAAGCGTTTCAAAGGAAATACCAAGAATGTTTGGCGAACACGCATGTTCCTAATTGTGTATCTTTTTAAACCGTAAAACGTACAAATGTTCTCCTCTAATTTTTCTCTCTGCAACTATTTTTCCTTCCATATTTAGATCCTTAAAGGTATGCAAAATGTACTCTGGATCATTCTCTTTGATAACCAGTAGATAAAATGTTCCCATGTCCGATAGAATATCGGGAATGCTAGAGAATACTCGTTCCATAACTTTCCTACCGTTTGAACCACCCGCCCAAGTTCTGAACACTAGTTTGTCGGTCGAAATTTCTTCGTCGCTAGTTACAACATACGGTGGATTGAACACCACGATATCAAAAACGCGACTACCACGTATGCAACTCAATAGATCCATTTGTACTGAATCTAGATCTACAGAGTTTAGCATAGCAGTTTTTTTGGTAGCTTTACATGCATTCAAGTTAACATCGATCGCAAGATAGTGGGATTGACAAAACTTGTTCAATGCCATTGCCAATGCTGTAATTACAATACCGGATCCACTACCTATTTCTAAACACATCACAGGTTTCATAACTTTTAGAACCTCTAAATCAGCTTCTAAGGCATCTATCAAGAGGAAGGAATCCTCCGATGGTTCATAAACTGTTTCCAACTCTTCATTTGACAATTTTACCACCGGGGTATTCATAATGTGTTCATAAATCATATAGAATTTTCATACAAGGTTTCTCTGCTAGGTACACTTATGCCGGTATCTCTATACAAATATATCACATATATTTTACAATTACCACAGTCATAATTTATTCCTGTTCCTTAGACCATGTAGTTTCTTTGTCCGCTTCTGCTTGTTCTTCTTTATCCGGTGCACCTGCAACATTGCTGTACGAAGAACTGTGATCCAATAAGGCTTTCCTCTTTGCCGTATTCTTCTCCACAGCTTGGTGAATCTTATTCAATCGTTCTTGAGTATTTTGTAAAATATTACTGACAATAGTGATTTTGTGTTTGGCGTTAATTAATTTTTTGACGTAAGAATCCGTTTCCAATGGACACTGCAAAGCTTCGTTGATTCTCTGCAACTCTTCTGTCAAAGACTCGATCCGTTGTTTTAATTCAATTTGACATATTCTGTACGAATAACATATTTAGGCGTGAATAAAATTAAGCACGTGGTCAGTGGGGAGAATTCTTAGCTGTACAAAAACATCGGAATACCATTCCGATAAGACAATCGTGTTTAGCCTAAGTTACAATATACACACACATACGAAAACATTACATACCTAGTTGCACGAATTCTTTCGTCTAATTGATCCACGGTGGGCTTCAAAAGACTCATAAGACCTTCTGTCAAGGCATCTCTCGTTGGATTTTCGCAAAAATCGTCAATCTTGTCATCTATAGACGTATTATCACTCGCCGTATCCACATCCATGTTTTTACTTCTTTCTATTTTTCAAGCAACTCGTTATTTTTCAGATGGCACTACCTGTACATCTGCGTTATGCATCGATTAGATCTGTCAAGTTCGAACGAAATAATTCACTAGAAATCTAATATAGGGTCAAATGTTATCACAAACAAAAAGATATTGTCTTATTTTGTGCCGTGAACACTTTTCCTTATACGCAGTAAATATGTAGGTAAATTATTGCGATATGAGTTACAGGAAAAATTAAATGAAACTGTTACTCTACACGGAAAAGACAGATGGCACCAGGAGTCACGTAAAACAGATTTTTGCAATGACACGTAAAAAACGAACCAAATCAAATAAAATACTTTACTAATACGATTGTGAATATTCGAGTGGAAATAATTGAACTGCATGTTGGTGATAATGCGTATAATACGTATATATCATTGTACATTTAAATTACACAACACACAAATTACAGGATTTTATAAACATTATGAACAAAATTGTAGAAAACCGTGTAGGAGGGTGCGTAAGAATTTCGTCGCAACGGCGCTCAATTGTCTATTTCGATAAATGAGGTATATCTGCGTAAACTTGTCGAACGAATTGATCGAGAATCGAAGGTTGAAGGAAAGCGTCGGAACGAATGAGGTAATGCGGACCAGAAGGAAGTCGTAAAGCGTGTTTGACCCTTTATCTCGAAAGAGCTAGAAGCAAAAACTGACTACCCATGAACGATCAATGATTGAAATGCGCGCGGAATTCTGTGAATGAGACCATCACGCATGCGTCGTATCTTTCCAGTCAAATTTCAAACGAGATCGCAACGATTTCGTACAAACGGTCGAAGACAATTTCTTTCGGCAATTTTTAATAATACGGAGGAGTAAGTTGTACGTAACGCGTGCAAGTACAAGAATAAATAGATCGGAAACGACGCGTTGTTTCCTTTCTCAGTTTTGCTGACAAGTAGTATCACGTGATGCGCGAAGCGCGTGCGCACTCAACGTTTCGGCCTTTAGCGCGTTTTCAATTATTTAAATTCTTTTTTTCTCTATGCTGAGAGGAGAAAAGTAACGCAACAAGTAAACAATAGAAAGAAGAGAGACAGAGAGAAAGAGAGCGCGAGATATAAAAAAAAGAGAGACAGACAGAAAGAGAGAGAATACTTTTTCGCGATTTAAAAGGGTTTACTTTTCGGTCCTAACTTGCGACTAATCGCAAGCGTCTAATCGATGTTTTTCTCTTTTATCGCTAGTATACTATGCAGACTACTCTTTTTTCGAGAAAACAAACAAGATACTGAATGAAACAACAGGTCGACGGACCACGAGGAGCGTCGATTTAAATATTTAAATCGAATATCGTACAAGCATATTATTACATTAACTACATACGTGGGCGTTGAATATGCGTCGATTTTTTACACGTAAATACACACACTCACGCACACAACATACACGCAAATGCATAGACGTTTCAGCCGCGAGAAACTCGATGCGATACTTTCTCGAAAAGTATACGTATACAATTTATATACGCGTATATATATGTATATACATGCGCATGCGTATCTGCTTGTACATATATAAATATATACATACATACGAGTACATACGTGGAGGAGAAATAACTAGGGAGATTTTGTACATAAGGCATCGCGACACGCCGATACTTTTCTCGCGGATCGCACCGAAAGAGAAAACATCAAAATTATTACGACAAAAATCTTATCGATCGCGTCTACGTGACCAAACGAATTCTAATCGTCGCTCGTAATCTTTTGCAAAAGCTGCCCTCTCGATAGCATGGCAGAAATTCCGTCGCATTCGTGACAGCAACCGCAGCAAGTTTCCTCGCTTTTACGCTCGACAATGGCTACTTTCTTGTTTTATTTTCGTTCTTTCCTAGAAGCGTACATCAATTCCGCGATCGAAGAATTAAACAGAGGTGGGAGTTTCAACGTTTATCACTGACCAGGGTGTGCTGGTAACGATACATTTTCCTTAAAACTACTCACTTTTGCCCGAAAGTTTCTTTCGTCGCGATGTTACGATTCCGGCCGAAAACGAAACGCATGCGATTCACTTTTTACTTGGCAATTTCGCGTACGCTTTACGCAAGACGAACGTTGATTACGAAGCACGACGAGTAAGCGGTAATCGGGAGAATCGAAAGGAGGATCATTCGGAACGCGCATAGTCGAAACGGAAGGAAACATCGGATTGTCGAAAACTTTCGAGCAAACGAACGCGGACCGAATAAGAATCGCGATGCTTTTACTCGCGCCTCGCTTTCAGCGACCGATATTGCCAACTAAAAACTTACCTCGTTATCGTGTTTCCTCTCTAGCGACCATCCGTCATCGAACAATTACGACGAGTACAAATATTTTCTAACGAGTGTTCTCTCTCGCGTTATCCTAGATAAATACATTGGTAAGTTCCCTTGCAAAACACTGTAAAACGGGATACGACGATTTATAACGCTGGTGCTCATTTTCGCGTACTTTATTATAAATACGAATCGTTAAATGTACAAGAACAGGCGCAATTCGTTCTAATCTTGCTCGCTTAATCCTTCTTTTTACCCGCGAACGAAAGCTCGTCAGGCAGCTCCGATTCCAGAATTTTTCTCAGCGTTAAAACCGACAGGAAGAAAATCACCGAACAACGGAGAACATTTAGTGGTCCAGCCACTATGGTCGCGATCGTGTTTCCTAAGCAAACGATCGACGATTAGCGCGTCGCGCGGGAAAGATCGAACGGTGTTCGATCACAAACGTCCCAAACTATCGCGTAGCGTAATCGGGGCACTAATTCGGTCGTCGCGTTCGCGGAAGCTTTTTCGTCGCTCCTCGTTGAAGTTCGATCGAAAAGAAGAAGAAGGAGAAGAAATAGATTTCCAGGTTCCTTCGTATCGTAGCGGGCTGCGAAGGGCATCGAGAGGGGCGTTTCGACGTCGAAGAAGGCGACTCTGGCGCGAACAAGAATTACCGAGGAAAAGGGAGAGAGCCGGTGAAGCTGTACGCTCACTTGGCGTGCTGCTTCGGAAGATGCCGTTTCATGTGCAGGGCGAGGTGGTCGCTTCTAGCAAAGGAACGCTCGCACACGGCACACTTGAAGGGCTTCGCGCCAGTATGCTTTCGATAGTGACGAGTCAATTCGTCGCTTCTGGCGAACCGCCATTCGCATTCCGGCCACTGACACTGGTACGGTTTTTCACCTGGAACAAAAACGGGAACACTGTACATCGATGCCTGTCTTACTTTCACTAGCCGCGCTCGTAGAAACGTTCATTTCTTTTTGTTTTATATTCGCATACGGAACACGCCCGTGGCAAACGATATTCCTCGCTGCCACGTACGAACGCGGAAAAATCGTGTTCCGTTTAAACGAGCCTAGCGAGCTTTTAACGAGCGATCGATTCGCTTTGGAAGCGTTCGACCCGTCTCTCCCCGTTTAAGGTTAACGGGTTCCGAGCAACATTTCGTTCGGCCACGGTCGCAGTTTTCGCGACGGTGAAAAGTTAACTGGACTCGGAGCGTATGCATTCGAGGACCGTTGCATCGTTCGCCTCGAGAGCAGAAGCAAGAGCAAAAGCAAAAGCAGGGAACAGGAGCAGGATCGCGGCGGCGAGAACGCGAACGGATTGCGCTAGAATACAGGTGAGCGTGTTGCGGCATGCGGGTACAGTTAAAGGTCACCGCGGCATCTCTCGTAGCCTAAGGTTCTGGTTCTTCGTTCCACCTATCGTCCTCGCAAAGAGCAACGCTTTGTTCTTTAATAGGTCCTTTTCCTTGGCCCAACTACCGACGAATCGCGCACCGGTGCAACGCTTCCCTTCCCTTCTCTTCCCTACCCTTCCCTTACCTTCCATTCCCTTCCCTTCCTTTTCCTCTCTTCTCGTGCTATCGCGTTCGAAAGCAGCCGCGACCCTTCTCTCTCGATCGATACCTCTCGAACGCGATGTCCCGCCGCGTTTCAGACGCGATTTTTAACGCGACCAACTACTCCCTTCGGTTCTTCGCCCTTTTCGCCGAAAGTCCGTCGAGTCGGACAAAGTTTTTTCTACTCAATCGTACGATACGTTTTTGTACCATTATGCATCGGAACAAACCGGTACAACTAGTGTTCCAATTACGCTCGGTTGCCGATTATCTCGCTCGATCGTTTAGTTTCACGGCTAATGCGAGAAACACCGTTTAGACGAGTTTCTCCGCGGCGTGGCGGCGCGATCATCGTCAACGGATCGGTATTCGCCTCCGGCGATCGCGACGGCCGACGACGATCCCACCGTGATCGCTCTCGATTATTCGCGTCACTCCGCTGGTTTTTCCGTTCGATCGCGAATAACATATTAATCGAACTTTTTACGCGACTCGCGCGAAAGCTGCGCGGCAGAACAGCCATTAAGAGGCAACGGAATAAATCGGCGGTGAACAAGACGAAACGAGCGGAGGAAAAGTCGTATCGCGGCGGAATCGTAGAAGAAATAGCGAAAGAAGATTCGATAGCTGAGAAATACGCCCACGCGTCGAACCGCTGCGCTGACTCGTTCTCCTCCGCGGAACGGCTCGACTTGGCTC